AGGCATAATTAACAAGTCAGTTTTTCTTAAACGCCCTGTTCAGCCGCGCAACTGCTCTTCGCCTCGCCTCTTCACTTGACTCGCACACCGCGCATATGCCGATTATTTCTTGGTCCACCTTTTTGGATACATATCGTCCGCATGCGCCGTTTTGGCAGAGGAGAACCCCTCCCGTGGCTAGCTCGGAGATTGGTCGTCGGCAGGATCTGCAAACGAGGGTGCCGATGAGAGTGAAGCACATTTTGTTAGATTTGTTGATTCTGCTTTTTGCTCTGTGTGGTGAGAAGTAGTTTGTTTTGTTGGTTTGGTTCAGAATTTGGTGGAAATTGTGAGAATTGGGTTTGGGAAATGTTGATGTATGGAAGTGAAGTTGAGGAATATTAAAAAAGGTAAGGGAGAAGAGAAGAAAATTAACAATTATATATATATATAGTTAAGAAACGCAAAGAATGATGGAGAGTCGTCGTTGTGAAAGGGACCGCATCGAATCACTGTTGTTCAGGGGCAGTAGCTGAACAGCCTACGAATAGAATCAAAAGATAGTCTCACAAGGCTAGATGTGAAGAGTCCTGGCTAGCAGTGAATATCATGTTGATAACTGGATCTAAAGTAATCATACATATATGTCTGTTCCCATATTCATTTAGCCGCGAAAGTAGTTTGTACACATTATCCCGCCTTTCCTAGATCTACCATTCAAAAGAGAGCGAGAGAGTGACAGAAAGCATCAATCCTGAACCCCTAGCTAGGTTCTTCTTATTCCTCTCCTCATGCACCTGCCACAACCGCCAAATTATCGTAAATCGCCCTCTTGACTTCATAAAGTGTGCTCCTCTTCCCGCCAAGCGGGAGACCCACGCTCTCAACGTCGATACGACCTTCGGCCGTCTTGCGTACTGCCACCGAGCCGTCCACGACAAGAGTACCCTCGCCGCGAAACTCGGCAGAGTGACCAGCGCTTTGCATCGCACGACGTAGATCAGCAAGTCGCAGATCACCAACGTGAAGGGACTGAGCGGCCGAGCGGGCAGCCGAGATGAGGTTCGCGGGAAGGACATCCAGAGTGGGCATAGTGGCCGTGTCGGCTGCGTTGGTGAGCGTAACGGCTGTAGATGTAGACGACTCCGTCTTTTGCCTCTTATTTGCCATGTCTTCTTGCGTTTGGCCTTCTGCTTCTTGAGCCAGGGCCGAGGCAAGCAGCTGACCTGTGATTGTGACGATGCCTAGGCCCCGGACGTTCTGCCACTTAAGCTTCTTCACTAGAGGATCTGCCAGCTTCACGACCCAAGCGTTTGTATCCATGCTGGCGTCCACCCATGTGCCTATTTCGGGTGTGAACACATCGACGGAGCGATCTCCATCGGACGCCAGTGCGGTCCGGCAGTCTGTTGCCAGAGCCATAGTCTCTTCCTGAGTGCCTCCCACAAGAATCAACTTCCGTGGCTGGATGAGGGGTATCAACATGTTTAGACTTCGTTTGTCGTGCAGTCCGCTAAAGTCTATAAATGCAATCCGCAGGTTGACTGCCACTGTTTCTGTGTTGTATACCAATTTGCATGGTCCTGTGGGTTCCTCTGGTTCAGTGTCTTCAACCATGTCCAGTTCGTCCGCGACAGCACCATCTGCCAGGTCCATAGCCTCCGTATCGTCTGCTGTGGCTGTTCTGTTCATGCTAGGCCGCTTGTTGGCGCCAGCCACCTGCTTGACGACATCATCCCACTTGCGCTTTTTACCAAGCTTTTCGTCTTCTGCAGCGACCTGAGCACTGTCAACTGCGTCGTCTTCCTTCTCCTCTGCTCGTAAATAATCTTCTGGGCGAATCAATTCGCCAAAATCATCATGTCTCTTCCGTCTAATGGCCATGGGGAACGATCGTTCTCTACCCCTTTTACCTCGTGTGTCAAAGTCGTACACCGTTTTCTTCTTAATTAAGATATTAATGCCCAAGTCTTCATCCTTAAGGACTACATTCTTACGGCCAGCCTGGCCCATTGTGGCGGAAACATTGAGTGCTTTACCCTGTTGTTCGCCTTCCTCTTCAGAGTCGGATGATGATTCAGATGATGCGTCGTCCACAACATCAGCAGATGCTTCCAGCGCACCCGCTCCACCGGCTTGCTGAGTTGCCTGCAGCTGTCTCTGGGTAGCCAACCACTGTTGATAGATGGCAAGTTCGTCTCCTTCCAAAGGTTCGCGGCGAGCTTCGCGAACCTCCAATTCACGGCCACCGCTGTAGATCGTCTCAAGGCTGTCTCCGCTGCTGGCATGCTCCGTAGAAATGCCATCTCTTCTTTCCTTCCACCATTCCCACATCGTTCTCGAGATGGAGGGAGCATTGGCATTGGCCAAACTAGGCCGCTCTGTTAAAATGACCAGGTTGCGAGTGTCCTTCACCAGACCCTTTACCAAGTCCTTGGAAAATCCCCAATCCATGCTAACATCGCTGGCTAGAATCACACGTCCCTGCGTTTCCCCATTCTCAATGCTCTGGCTTAAAAGCTTTGCGATCTGGGCTTTCCGTTCTAATAGGCGCAGGTATTTGAAATCGAATGGTGCTCCTTCTTTTTTCTCGCTACCCCCATTGGTTTTCCTCTGACCCTCTGCAAAAGCTTCAAATTCTTGGACAATATTGTTGTCCATCCACTCCAGCATGCTGCGCGCATATCTCATGGTACTAGACACATTTCGTCCCGCGAGATACAGCTTTGAAAACTTTAGCACTCCATCTTTATTAGCCGCATCTGTCCTCCAAGCATTTTCCAGAAGATACGATATCTCCAAAACTCTGGCACTAGAATCTACAGGTATGAGAACCGTGCCACCTCGACCAACACAAGATTTGATCATTTCAATCAGATGCTCGTCTCGCTTGGCACGACCACCCGCCTGCGCAGTTTTATCAGCACCGCGGGAGCTGCAAATCAGAGCGGTTGGTTTGCGTAGTTGCTCAATAACCTCTGCACCGCCGCCCCCTGCACCACCAAGCCAAGCAGCTCCAGCAAATACATTCTCGCGGGCCTGGTTCCAATCCACAGCATATACGATAGACTCTAGCCCGTGTTGAATATGCCAGATTGTGCCACCAAGAGTGTGGCCAGAGTTGTAGGCCGTGATCGTGAGTCCATTTAGCGGCGGAGAGAACGGCGAAGATAAGGGTTGATGTGGTTGTGAGTATTTGAGCGGCTGGATGAGGGAGAAGTATCGCGCAATCTCTTCGGGGGTGGGGGATTGGAGAAGGAGATTCTGCGCAGTTGTAGCCGTCTGTGAATATGCGTATGTCGTCTCAGAAAGAGAGCTTTGGCGAATCGTTGTAGCAGCTGCGGGCGTGGAAGAGTAGAGGTCTTGGGTGAGCGTTCGTCCCAGATCGATGACCGGCCGAGTCGCATAGACGGGGATGCGTGTGAAGAGAGCAATATTTTTGCAGCAGTGGGCGTAAGCAGCAAGATGCGATACCGTCGCATGTGTTAGAAGAATAAGAGACAGGGTGGGCACTTGTCTAGAGGCTCAAGTTAGCTGTAATGCTCTGTTTGCTCTGATTCTCCAAGTCTCTGGACAATCCACGGCCAGCACCCACTTTTCCAGCTCCTCGAGCTTCTCACTGCTGAAAGACTCGTCCCATCCCAGGTCGACCAGCACCTTGACCCCTCCATCGAGCTCCAAGAGGGATTGCGACGCGAGCGACTCCGAAAGAGCGCCCTGAAGCGGGCAGAAGGTGAACATGATAGACCTCCCGTTGCGATCGCAATGATTCAGTCGTGTTCCTGCAGCATGATTCGTTGTATGGGGAGCAGGAGTTGTTGCGAATCGCTCAGGTCGATTGGTTGAGAAGCTTCAAAAGCCCAGTGTTGTATGGAAATGGCAGCCAATCTGATAGCCGAATCGCGTCGACACATTTGATGCGATTCGACGAATTGCCTGTGACAGGGATGTAGATAGCGGGTCGGAGATACTTTATTCCAGAGGTTGGGAGACCTTCCCTTTTAGGCAATTTGCTTCTCGGCGACTAATATAGCAGATCGAGCAGGATCTAATGGATTTACTACGGAGCACATGCTAGTATCCAATTGTTTGAATCCAGATTTCTTCATTATTGTATATACGAATGGTGGAAGCAGAGGATTTCTCAAGTAAACCTTATTTTGGTAATGAGTCATAGGACATGCTCTATAAATAGATCGACTGAATTCTGCAAATGAACTACAGCCTAGAGAGGCCCATTTTAAACATTCTAGAATCAATCAGCTCTTGGCCCAGACTTTTACATTGGCTTCTACAGATAACATCTAGGCCGCAGTTGGTGGTACATATATGTACAAATATGCGTGCGTACTGAAAAAGAACAAAGTTGTAGCTAGTATTTCTTCGTAGCAAGTAGTTAAATCACTAATGTCATATCTCGAATCCTCCAAGAAGAGATGAGATACGTGCAAGTTTTGCGGTGGCAGGATTCGTTTTTGGTTTTAATGTTCTACTTGAAAATCATGTATAGTCACGGTAATGGTTGACATTGAGAAATTACTTGCGGATATAGCTCTTTATACCAATGACACTACCTAACTGAGGAGTTTGGAGAGCGTAAGTACATGTACATGCGGTGGAGCATCTACTAGGTAGTTTACAAGCAATCATGTCGTCAAGTTTAGTATTGTATACAGTATCAAGACTTCGAAGACTTGTATCAAAGTATCTATGCGATACTCGACCACTGCGGCAATGGCTTATGATAGGCTCAAGTTTCATGGAGTATCCATCCAAGGCTAAAGATAGCCGGGCCCTGAAGCCCAACACTCTTATAATTCGAAGAGGCCCGATTACAAAGTCTATCCATGTATATAAATATTCGTATTGAATAAGCTAGAGTTATGCTTTCGTTCCGGGCCGACTTAGGCATACATATAATCGTTAAACCGCACGAGTGTATGGTAATCCCAGACAGAGCTCTATTAAACAGTCACTTGGTAAGCTGATCAGCTACGAGAATCCAAATCATATCATATACAATGTCTTATTCCACGACCATTGCATGTCAATGCAATCACTTTTATTTACGCCAATGTTCCCTTTGCATCACGGACTCGGACGTCGAGATACCCACTATAAAAGACGCATGGTCTCCTCAATGGCTACTAAAATCCTTTGATAATGAAGATGACAACAAGGGTGCCGCCGCCAAAATGTTGCGATACAGGATTAAACTGATGCTTTACACCCTGAGTTCTACGCGTTTTGGCAATTACAAACTACCATGTCCAGAATTACCGCCTATAGTGCGACCATTTCGGTGGCTAATCTCATATCACGTTCTCCCCAAAGGATATCGTTTCACCAATCAGTATCAAACTCCGCCATGGCGTATGCTCTTGCGGTGCCTTCTCATCGACCTCCCCTCACAATTGGCTTCTCCAAATCATCTGCTAGATATAAAGTCGTGGAAACAATATCCATTAGGGGGGAAGAACAAAGTTTATGATTATACAGAAGAAAATCCGTATAATATCACATGCGGGAAACGAGTCGTCTTTTCGAAGCAAACGAATGGCTCAAAGCCGGTCCTCCGTGGAGATTGGCTTTTTGTGGCCTATCTGTGGTCCGCTGATCGGTCATGGGTAGAGCATATTAATGTTGCAGACTTGCTTAATTTTGCAAAGCCATTTTGGTAAGTATATTAGAATTTCTGTCCTGATCTCAGCCGTTTGCCTATTTATTGCTTACGATATCATTTATCTTAGTATTCAAGGATGGGAATGGGCTGATACAGTTGGCGCATCTGCCGACAAACCAATTTTATTCCATGAATTAAAGACAAGGGAAGAGAATTACGAATGGGAAGATTACGGTGTGCCTTTGATAGGCAGATCAATCCCCAATTCACGAGAAAGAGTGTCTGAACTGCGCCGTCTTGTGAACCTTCACGCTAGTGACCTCCTTTAAACGGCTTGTGAGGGACAAGGAATGACCTGCTCAACAGTTTCATGCTATCATAGTCTGATTGTAAGTATATTCAAGAAATTTGGCGCAAGTATTTGGTTCTAATGATATAAGTCTCCAACAAGGAAGGTGAACTTTGTCAGAGGGTGTATAATACTATGGGATACGGGATGTTTAGCAGATGGCGCAAAGTTATATAAGCGAGTTGACTTACTTAATTTCATGAATTAACCTTGGTTATTTAGCCTATTTAAGCTGAAATCCAACACTTATATGAAGAGGTACAGTTTCGATGGATCTTCTTTCTAGATCTTAATACCAGTGTGTTTTAAAATATGGGCTCCCAGCCATGTGCACTGTGTTGTTGCATTATCGTTCGCCCTGCAATTGGAAATGGAGAGACTAGTCAGCTGGCGCTTTCATCAAGTCAATTCTTCTACATATTTCACAATGTATTGATATAGTTGATCGATTTCAAGCCTCATGCCAGTGTCTATGTTTGAGATGCATCTAACTGGCTTCATTTTACACCTCTCCTCTCATATAGTAGACCTACCGTGTATGTTACAATCTCTCTATTGAGATTTTAAAAACGGCCTGGCTTTCTAGTTATCCAGCTGCGGTGCCTCACGTTTGGGTGCCATGTTCATCTAAGGGAAAGAAGTCTCAGTACTTTTGATCCATATTCACCGTAGGCCATATCATTAGAATAACATATGATCTCATATATATTTCATTATTGGTTAATTTTCCTGATTTTTACCACCACCAATAAGCCATGATTGTTAATTATTAAACATTACTTGGTTCTCAATTCATCAAATTGCAATTAATTACACAGAGCATCACATATCACCCCACCATGGCTGAAGGGAATCTACATGACATGGAAAGACTATGGGCCTGAGAATGACCGTGATGGTGAATGCTTTAGCCAACACTTGATGTATGGCCATCTATAGATGAGCTGATAAGAATTAAGCTCTTAATATGAATAGTATACCTACTCTTCTCCAAAATAGTGCACATATCCGTCTGCTTCATTTGTAGGGAGCTCTACTATTGCAGATGTTGTCAAAGCAAGCGCCTCACCTTCTCTTATTTTAGGAAGGCAAAGCATGCTTCGCGTGAATAGCATCCGAGGGTTATTTTGGCCTTCTGGAGGGTCATCGAATTCAAGCACTGGGAACTCGGCCTCTCCCTTCCCGCGCGCCTGACCAGTCACCCACAATTGTCGGAAGTGTTCTTCCCATTCTGGCGAGGTATCTTCTTCCTTATCAATGTCGTCTTCAATAGAAGTATAGAACATACGAGACACAACAGTCACTCTGGCGTCAGGGTTCTGCTCTTTCAGACGGGCCTCAAGGTCTGGGCGCTCAGAATTAGGCGAAAGCTGTCGTAATTTCTTGCAGCGTCCCTGGTCGAAATCGTAGAGATAGAGGATTCGGAACTCTCCAAACGAGCGAGCATTGTGATACCCACGGAATTTTTCTTCATCATGGCCATATTCAAGTTCCTCTTCCACTAGAAGCTTGTTGCTGACTAGACTAGAGAGGCCCTCATTCAGCGTACCTTTGAGCGTTCGCGCGCTAAACTTGTCCGTGAAGACATGAAAGAGGTCCTTGAATAGATTTGGATCCATGAAATACCCCGGCGTTGGGAGTGACTCAGACTATTCGTTGTTATCAGTTTCAGCTCAATTAGGCTGACTAGTTTGACTTACCGGAATTTCACCTGTGAGCAAACCCACGTCTGCGACTGTGAAGCGACCGCCACTATGATGATAGTGAACAATAACATCATTACTAGCAGAACTACCTGCAATTGCTAGTGCATCATTGTTGTTTGAGAACTCAAAGTTCTCGTGATGGTGGAAATATCGACCAGCCTGCTTCTCTGAAGGAATAGTTGAGATTGATCTTAGGACAGCGTATGCTTTGTCATGATCAGGGTCAATATGACCACCCAGAGCGATGCAGGAAGGCGTGACAAACGTAAAATTACCACTATGCTAAAGAAGTTCTTAGTGAAAGGGTATATGGAGATATAGTTCGTTTGGTTTGCTCAACTTACACACTGAGGGGCGCGGTCGTCTTGGGGAATGTCGATCCTTGTTAAGTCTCCTGATTCTAGATTCCAGATTAAAATCTGGCTCAATGTGCGGGAACCATTAATGCAGTATCCTTTTTTGAGTTCATTGTCCACGCAAAGGGCAACAGATGAGCCATTAACGACGAGTCTCCCGTCAATCGAGGCCGCAACTACTGTTATTTCTCTGGTAGTATTTCCGTCCCAGTCGTGCGTGCGTAATATCAATGTCTTTTCGCTAGATGTAAGTTTAGTAACATTATTTCCAAGGATTTATTGGCTTGAAAATATTTACTCCTCTCTGAACTCTGCGGTGACGAACCCCGCTCGGTCGCTCAATAGCCTTGACCTTGCAGCGTTGAACGGCAGCTTAACGATTTTTCTGAACTCGACGACGTCGTCAGCTTTTCCCAAAATATCGTGAATATCAGCCAGGAAAACAGAAGACGGATGTATTATGACTGTGCCGTCTGCCTCTTCTTCGAACGTTAACAGGATCTGATCGTCCATGACGCTCCATCGAGCCCCGTATGAGCAATATCGTGATGAAAACTCAAGAGGCGGGCGCAAATTGAAAACTCGCTGGGGCCGGCCGCTAAGCCAGCTCATACGGACTGCTTCGTCTTTCATTGCGAAGGACACAGAGAGATATTAAAAGCTACTTGCTATGGGGTTGATAAAGCTCGTATGCTGGCTGGCGAGACAAGTAGGGAAGGGGAGGGTTTTTTTTCTACCCTTTTTTTTTTTAATGTTTAGTAAACTTATCCTCCAGCTTGGTTCTCGGTCATTACCAAAAGCGGCAACAAAGTCTATGCCTACGGTGACACGTTAGACTACGCACTCGCTCCTGGGAAAAGCCATAGTGTCCACAAAATAAGGCAATTAAACAATTAGAAAAAAGTGTTGTGTATGCGCAATACAATTGCCATCTTTCATCTATTACAGCGCTTCATAGAAAGCTATAGCACTTATAGCACGGCACTATTGCAAGGCTGATTTTTAGCTTTCTTATAAAGGGGTAACAGTAGTAACTACAAAAGCGGAGTCACTTATGTAAAGTAGGGATAACCTCAATGATAGTTGGATGACTTGTGTTTGCTAGAAGTAGATAGCATTGATAAAAGTAGATATTATTGATAAAAGTAGCTCATTATGCTCGACGAGGTAACCTTGATTTATGTAACTTGGCTACTATATTGGGTATCTTGACACATATTTAAACAATGATTGGAACTTTTTTAGTCATTGAACTTCTCTTTCCTTCTCAAAAATTTTACTCAGAGTCTGGCGAGTATATTCTTTGAAGTGCTTTTCCCTCCACATCTGTGTGAACCAACATATGGGCGATGATTTCGATCCTCAGCCCAGGCCGCCTCAAACCACGAGTCTTAGGACAAGAAAAAACACCATTCACTTCCTTGCGAGTTTGCTGTGCGATTAGTTGTGACTTTGCCAGCTGGCGGCCATCCGCTACCGTACGGTGCGTCAAATCACAACTTCATCTTTTATCTTTTAACTCATGCTGCTTCGTGCCATTTTCGCCGGATACTTCCACGGTCTAATTCTGGAACGCGAGATTTAAGTTCCTGAAACCAAAGTTGTTGTTGCAACTGATACCGTTCCCGTGACCTGAAATGGTCTTCAAAAACATCAGACCCAAAAAAGTCTGTGGCACCCCCGGAGAACTGGGAGTGGTTCTCAAGAGTAGAATCTTGCTTAAAAACTATCTGAGAGAAGGGTGTAAGGGGTCCGGCGGAATAATCCCAAAGTTTATCGCTTGGGGAGCGGCATGGCCCAAGACAATGGTAAATGCTTATATTCAAGTGCGTTTCGTTGTTGCTCGGTCCCTGGTTGAGTGTAATGTTGTAATCTGTGCTGCATAATAGGCACGAATCCTGCTCTGGGTCAAATTCGATTGCTTTTCCATCATCCTGAGGATAAGGTACTGCTGATCGAATGTATGGACAAGAGCACGAGTATTGCTTTGGTAAACAACACGGTGGGTAGGCCGAGCAAATGAGATGGTGGCAGATTGGTATTGACATACTTCTGATAAGCCTTTTGATGTGCTCTTCAGACACTGTAGGTCCGACTATTGTATAAAATCTGGCAATAAAGAGCTTGTCATCAATAATTTTCGGCGTGTATCGAAGGGAAAATTTCCAGGTGTTTTTCATCCTTGATAAAGCTTCGAGACTCTCTCCTGGAAGCTGGGTTTTAGGATCGACGATTCCATTCCTTATGACATCTTTCTTTCCACTGCGCCTCCATGGTTTATAGAAGCAGGTGCACCTTTGATACTTGCATCCCGGTTTATGGGATCTGACGCATTTGCCAAATTCGAGGATATGCTCAAATGACTTGTATCGTTCTAGGCTCTGAAGAGGTATACCATGAGAGAAACCGTAAAAATGTCGACTCATGACCAAATTGGCTTCCATAAAGGAGATTTGGGTGCTGAACAGGGAGTGCCGAAACTTTTCCGGAAGGGAGACGTGCTGGGCATTGCATGAATCGGGCAACCAGTATGAATTCCGGAAATCACGAAGAGTCCATGCATGGGCTTGGCTTTCCCACTTGAGATTGGGGTCAAGCAGACGCAACTTATGACAACAATAGCAAAAAAACGTGTTAGGAATATCCTTTTGCAAAGTGAAAAGGAATTCAGTCAGCTCTTCGCCTTCGAGACGCGGGAGGGCGCTTCTATGAGTCAGTTCCGTGAAATATTTGCATGTTAAAGCCAAAGAAAACCTCCATGGCAGCGGCAGGTTGTCTATGATCAGCAGTAGAATTTCGGTTGGAAGCACCAATATATCCGAACATAGGAGTCTCTTTTTGGACGCCTTTGCCTCCATGAGGTGCTGGCTGCGTCGCTTGCCCGTGGAGTGTCCGTCGTTCTGGCGCATTTTGTGTTCTAGAAAGTAATTTTCCAGATTCAAGATGAATCTGATGGAGGGGGGTTTGCTTTGTAAAATACAAATAGAGAACTCAACCCAGCTGTGCAGAATTTTATTTGCATGTGGCAGGCTGTGCAGGGTGATGCTTTATGGGTCGTGACACTGATGCGCAGCTATTACGCATGCTGTTCCTCTGTGCTACATAGCTCGGCAATTTATGTTGGGAAAGTGGCAGAAAACTCTCTGCTCCAAGGGAAAGCCACCGGGGGCCATAGTTCCACGCAGGCTGAAGCTTGGTTCTGGAGGGATCCCATTGGTAGATGTCTTAGAACCAGCATCAGCATTTTGAGCATTGATGCCTTTCGCATAAAAATTAAGTGGATGATCTCCATGTAGCCGGATCATTACAACTGAATACCAAGGAAGATCACCACAGGGATGCTCTCAGCATTTTGTGAACACTCCTTTTCCAGCATATGAGTTTAAAAAAGCATATTTGTAGATAGTAAAACTTGAGTAAAAGATCAACGATTAGCATAATTGAGAGTGTAGCATGTGCCTATATGCCGCTTAGGCTGTGATGACTGAGCTCCTGTTCATTAGTTTCTTCTACCCCTATACATTGTTGATGGGAATTTCCGTGCTCTGAAAAGGTCTCTCTTAGCTACTTATCATCTCTATCTTACTGTCGTTGCAATAGAACATATCCAAGCTTCAGCACTTAGATAATAGCTGCTGAAGCCCAGAATCATCCTTGTAGCGTTGTAATGCCACGGCCTTCCACTCCTCTCATTCCAATCCCTGGTCAACTGCCGCTGCATCGCGAAGGCCCTGAAAAAGGCCTACAAAGCCATCCCAGTCTTCGAGATCGTATCCGCAACAGAACTCGAATCTATGCTGGAGCCGACCCTTCCATACGCAGTCGGCAAGATCCTGTCGGCCTTTTTCTTCAAAAAGGCGGGCAAAGACAATCTCGTCATCTCCAAGATCGTTGCTGCCATCGTAAAACTCTTGGACTGGCAAGAATCCTGTTGGCGATTTAAAAGCTTGAAAGGCTGGAGCGGTTTGGGCCCATTCCCAATCGATAATTCCGGTGATGTTGAAATCTTGATCAACCAGTATGTGGTCTCCTTTATCATCCGTATGCCTTAGATAAAAAAACGTATCGCTATTTTGTGAGCAAGACGAGGTCACTAATGGAACCAGGTCGATGAGAAATATGTGTATTAAGTAGGCGTCGACTGCCACTTGAGAATACATCTCTTCTTGTACAATCATACTCAGGATTTTTTGAAGCAAAGAATAGTGATACTGCTCTGGGCAAGAAAAGGGCCCAATGGTGCGCATTTTCGAGTGCTCAAAGTCCATGAGCAGCTCGTGGGCAATTGCACCTACCTGAGGTTCACTACTAGTGCCGTTATTATTAAACGAACCAAGTAGAGTGAAAGGGTATCTGTGAAGCTCAATGAAAATGTCTGTCATTTGCTGCATGACCTTTTTCTTTTGTTCTTGAGTTGTAGTGTCCCATTGTAGAGCTTTGCCCTGTAGCTTCTCCATGAGGATGAAGCCGACACCAACCGGGTTGCCTGGTTGCTCAAGCGCAAAATCAAAGACTTTGGGAACAGGTACATTCGTTTGATGAAGGAATTTGAGCGTCGCAACCTCACTCTGGATAATATAGTCTCTCACTGCCGGTGAGGGGGATTTACTATTAGACCTTCGGATACGAGCGATCCATATCATTCCATCACTAAAGCGAATTTCGACATGGCAGTTCATCCCTCCCATCAGGGAATTCACGTCATGGCTAGTAAGAGGGGTGATGGAGCAAGATATACCATGCCGCAAATGAGTAGCTTTGTCTTCAAGAGCACGGATGTTGATTCTAGCAATGAGCGCCTCGAGTTCATTCTCTTTGGCCACTCCAGCCGCAGGATCATATGCATCTTCATCCTGTTTGTTGTGTTTAGTTAGTAGGTGTTTAATATATATATAGGTATATTCTAGGTTCAGGATGAAATAAAACGAACCTTCCACTGAGGGCATGTATGGTGGCTGGGCAGCAGATGAATCGAGCATAGATGGCGGTTGCAGAGCAGACAGTCACCCGATTTGCGGACAGCTGGTCGGCAACAATTTTCGAAATCGCACATCCATAGCGGCATTATTGGCAAGTGTGTTGAAGATATGGAGGAGATAAAGTTGTTAATATTCATGAAAGGAGTAGCTAGGAACTTGAGCTCGGAGTCCCGCTTGGTGCTGAGTCTGTGGATGTTGAAGCACAGTTATGAAGAAACGGCCTTCAAGCTACATTGAACTCTTCTTTTGCAGATTGGAGGTAGGCAGCGACTGGCTGCAATATTTTTTTTTTTTTTTTTTTTTTTTTTTCCCCTCAGCCGTGTCAGTAACGGCTGCGAAATATAGGTACGGGTAGAAATTCTCTCTCATCATAAATTCACTTCGCGCTAGGTCTGAGCGCTCGCGTTTGTAGGTAGTATATGCAGGTTACATGCAGCTCTTCCGGTTTATTTTCTTGATTACTACTGATAAAAGATCTTAATTAATAACGCTCAGCTCCTTATACTGCGTGTACGACGTACACCAATCCGTTTTGCATTTACGGCAGCACAAAGTTTTGCTCTGCGCGCTGTTCAACAAATCTAGTGGACAAGACCACGTCAGGAAACATGGATATAGATGTTGTGCTTCCTTGTAAACGAATCAATTTTAATTAATCGTTCCGGTGTGGCGTTTATTATTGGAAACACATGTGACAGCCGCCCAACGTCAGTCGGAGTGCCGCAGCCATGTATAAAAAAGACAGGTGGCTCACAATTATTCGGTTTGATTCTTGCCTATTACAACGGAGAGTGTCAGTGGAATCAGGCTCAATTAATTTTGATCTATTTCTCATCGTAGAAACCAATTCAACATACCCGGTCCAGCAATCAGATGCGTGAAACCAGGTTGCACAAATTGGGCGCTGAGTAATTCTCGATACTGCCGAGCCCGTTTGTCTCTCTCCGTTTCTCAAGGCCATGTACGGCAACTAACAGATTGCTCTATAGACGCGAGAAACAGGAGACAAATAGACGGAGTTATACCGTCAACCTCAAACGCTACGCATAAGCAGACGCAGACGCAGACTATATAAATTTCTGCCTTGATAAGATAAAGGCGGCAGCTAATAGAGAAAGTGACACGGTTATCAAGTGGCCTTGAAGAAATTATAGATGAGGTTTCTCGACATCTTCGATGTTATGAAACCCCCTTGCCTCAAACTTCGGACTTTATGCTTTAGGGAAACAGCAAGGCTAACTATTGGAACTTAAAGGATACTCAGATCACCTTAATAACGACATATAGTAGCTTGTGACGAAGCCATGAATGATCTTAAGATAGCTGATAGACGAAGCTATCGTACATAAATGAATTTATATTGTATGTGTTTGTCTTAGCTGATGCAAACTCGGCGCTGTGTTGACGAGAACTATTCAATTACTTGGTTAATTACCGATAAATTAGGGCAGGTAGAGTATATTATTATTATCAGCCAGTAGAGTTGCCAATGATGTCTCTTTTTTGACGCCTTTTCACTGTTTTGTCTGTTTGTTTTTACCCATGCATAGTCCCCAGCGGGCAATGAGGTCGGCTGGAGTCAACCAAAATCTTAATCCCTTTTACATAGGCTCGTTTCTTCAAGCCCAGCTAAATATCAAGTAAGCTAATTACTAATTGCCGCAAGTATCGGCCTTATAACCGTTGCGCAGCGCGTCTAGTTACATAAGAAAAGAGAAAAGAAACAGCAAAGGATAAGGAAATACAGGTTTCTACAGGCAAGTAGCAGGAAGGCTGTAGCATAAGGCTTATATATAGAAATACGGCCGATCCGTCCAACGAGCTCCCTCAGCTCAACTGGGACAGTTGATTGGTTATCAATCACGTGATTGCCCGGTTAGCTCAATCGGTAGAGCGTGAGACTCTTAAGACACACGTTCTGTAATCTCAAGGTTGCGGGTTCGACCCCCGCATTGGGCTTTTCCTATAAATTCTCAGATTGAAGGGGTTCAATTTTTTGTCTTTTTATTTTTTTGTTCCCATCATAAATTTAATTAACTTTTCTTTTTATTCTTATTAATATGTATAGTGGCAGTAACAGAATCTCTCTGTATAGTTTTCTTCAAAGAAATTATTCCGTCATTTTTTTTTTTCTCTCCCCCTCTTCTCTCAAAGTGATATAGCTGTGGCGTATGCTTTGTCCAAGAGCTTACTCGACTTAAGCTTCCTGCCGATCTGCTTGCGTGAGCTTCTCAGAAAGTAAGCCCGCGCTTAAACCTTCCTTAGAGAGAGGTGTAATTACAGTTAGGATAAAACAAGGAAGGGAGGAACCTCTCGAAGAAGCTTCTCCACGTGTCGTCCATTAGAGTTAATTCCATCGTGAACCTTCAGTCTCGGTACCGGATCCGCTTCGCGCAGTAGTGAAAGCAGCTAAAAGGATACATACATACAGCAGCAGCATTGGATGCAAAAAGTAAAAACACCAAAAAATGGCTTTCCGCTAAAGCACACATGCAGTTTCTTTGAAGAGAAAATAAAATAGCCATTCCGGCACTACAAGGTGCATAAATCTTTTTGTCTTGGGTTTAATTGATATAAAAGTAAGGCTGCGGAGAAAATGCAACCCAACAATCTCAAGCCTCTTGTTTCGCCTCATAAGCTTATTAAATTTACGAAGAACCTACTTTTACTGCTAGCCGTACTCAACATTAAGCCACCACCCGCATGCATAAACGACAGAAAACAATCATATCCCCAGAACAGCCCACACAACTCGGGCCAAAGTGCGCTCTCTCCTCAATTTCTCTCTCTTTTCGCAAACTATTTATTGCATAGACTATATCTGTCTGTCTTAATTAACTTTTGTCTTTCCCCATCCTGTTCCCTGCCCTGTGCAAATTAAAACACGCCCCTCTGCCCCAACTCGCACCCCGTCTCCCCTCTCCCGGCATTTCCTTGCCGCGGGCTCACACAGGTTTGGCCGAATACGGATGGTGTCAAATAATCGCAAAATGGGGGATGACGCGGCCTCTTTGATAGAAAGGGTCCCCACAGATTATGCTACCGAGTTATGCTTTCCCGTCAATTTCGACTGCGTTTTGCTTATTTATCCACTAGCGGCCAATACTATACAGTACGAACGACATAGTAAGTTATATCACTTATAATGGCATGACATGGGGATGATGGCTCTACTTTTTGGCGTTTTCTTTTGCGGCAGCAACTTTGACAATCAAATTGTAACATGGACTGAGATAGGGCAGCTATATATAATTACGGCCACTTTATTCAGGATTATAACACGCTGAAAAAAAAAAAATTAAAAAAATTTGGAAGGATAAGAAAAAAGCGTACGTAGTGTATACCGCAAAGGACCAAAGATCCAAGCTCAACAAAGCATATATATTCGTAATTTTCATTCTCTGGAATAGCGGAACATGCCGTTGGGAAACCATAATGATAAAGTAGATGGCTGAAACAAAGGACCGAAACGTCTAAATGTAAGCAGACACCATATCACCGATGCGAGGTTGAAAGCCATGTATAGTTGCGTGTAAAATAATTTGTTGAACCAGATGTAAAATAAAATTATAACGAGAGTTGGTCAGGCAACAACTTAGATTATTACCAATTGCCAACATCACTTTACGCAAGCACAGCCACGTCAGATATCAAGGAAACTCAATCGAAATAGTAAAGAATAGCTCTCTTCCCTACCAGCTATCTTATATACAGTACTCAAAAAGAACAAACTCCTAAACTCAGCCCGAATATTTCCCTGTAAACTCAAATAACCTTCTTCCCTTCAGCGAGGCCGAATCCCCCCGTTGTGGCCATTTCCTAGTTTCCCACCGGCCCAAAAGTCCAGCCAATCCCAGGTCCAAATAGACATATCGCTAGCTCCTCCTTTAGACGCCAGAACAATGCATCAGATCAGATATAACAACAGAATCGTAACTCCCAAAGCCCTAGTATTTCTATACGAATGAAAGAGAGAGAAAATAAGTATAGAGACGAAGAGCAGTTTTTGTGTTTTTATGGTGGATTTTTTTTTTGTTTAAATGAAAAAAAAAAAAAAAGTAAGAAAAGGGGAAGAAGAAAAAGGAAGAAAGAAAGAAGGGTAGTGAAGTTCAGATCTACAATCATTCTAGATGCAGAACTTTCGATCAAGCATTCTCAGTGCTCGCGCATCTTCGCTCGCGCCACCCTTTTCTGCGAGAGTGACGTTACCGGTTCTTGGGCTGCTGTGAGCGCTGCCATTTGCACCAGATTCAGCAGTTTGAGCTGGAGTGGGGTGCAATAGAGCAGATAAGCTCGCCTTATTGCCGCTAGTACTGTGCATCTCCAAATGAGAACTCTGAGGTGGACTAGCGCTCATTGTTCGGTTTGGAGGCGTGTGTAGACCATTGTGCTGAGGAGCACCAGATCCGTTGGCAATTGGGCCCAGGGCTGGTAGAGGGCCCTGTGGTTTCTTATCATTCAATGCCCGAGAGTCACCAATGGCAGCTTGAGCAGCGGCTTGTAACGTTTGTTGGTGAGGAGAATCGTGGATTCGCGGCGGAGTGGGTCCTTGTGAATATGGCTGGCTGTGGTACAAAGGCCCAGACGTTGGCTTCGGGGGGTTTTGCAGAGGAGGCAATGAAGTGCGTTCGTAATTGAGAGATGGCGGCGGAACGTGTGCATAGTGATGAGGTGGCGGCGGAGCTGCTGTGATATAGCCATGATGTGCTGGCGGAGGGGGGGCTGGCGAGGCGTAAGGCGGAGGGAGATGGTGACCAGCAGGAGGATAAGGCGCGGGAGCGTAATGTCCATACGGAGGTGTAGCAACTGGCGATGGAGGCCATCCGTAGCCTGGCTGCGCATAATGAGGGGCGTATGGCTGATGTCCTGGATGAGCGTGGTGATGCTGAGGAGCAATCATGTACGGCTGCTGCATTGGGGCCCTGGTAAGAGCAGGAGTCTGGTTTGTCTCGCCCATGCTAGACTCAGGATACATGCCTTTAACAGGTACGATTCCCCGCAAAGTTGGATCGGTGGTCGGTTGTGGCAGTTCTGGTTGTCCAGGCTGTGGTCGGGAATAGTAGGATATCAAGTGCAGGTGCTGGCCGGTCGATGTCGTGATGCTGAAAGACTGCTTCATAAGTCCATCGGCCTTGTATCGGTATCCTTCAGGTTCGCCATCGTCATGGTCCTCGTCACTACCGCGACCAGATTCGGGCGTCTTGCCGTTGCCTCGTCTCCCTCCACCAAAACCGCCTCCTCGCTTCCCTTCCATTTCGCGGTACGTCAAAAAGCTTCCGGATACTCTGCTGGCGCTCCATGATTTGCCATCTGTCCAGCGCCTCATGCCAGCTTCCCGCTCATCCCATACAAAGACCGAACCGGATCTGATAGATTGTCTTTCCTTTTCTGAGAGTCGTCGTTGCACGCGAGGTAGAAGTCCCAGCCGGCAAGCCTCGAACAGCTTGATGGCATCAGCTGGAGTACGTACATAACCGTGGTACGTCTCCATCTTCTCCGACGCTATTGAGTCTGTTTTGTACATGTGATAGACCAGTTGTCCGATTTAACGGACGATTCCTCCCCTGATGATGGTAAAAAGAGGGCCGGATCACTCAGACACACGAGTCTGGAGTGTTCTCTCGTTGGCCGTTTAAGTATGTCAACTACTGTCAAGCAAGACGGTAGATGCGTCACCGATAGAGCTGAGTTATAGCCTTGTTTTTTGGTCAATGGCACTACGAATATGGTTGTTAGTTTGTTACACGCGGGGATTTTTGAAGATGAAGATGCTATCAGAAATGAATGAGTGAGGGTTTTGAAAGGTAAGGGAAGGAAATTCGACAGGAGAGAAAATGCTCCATCAGAGATCAAAGAGGGCCTGTCTGCATCATTATGTGCTCCTTGGCTCAGGATGGGAGAGTCGGTAGACCCGCTAAACAAAGTAGCACACTAAATGCAGAGGATAGAATTCTCTCGATAGAGCAACGGCCAAGGCCTTGCCTGGTCCAGTGAGTTCTTCCATTTGGCCCTTTCTTGTCTGATTTGACGGCGGTGCCGACGGAGCACTTGCAACGACAAAAGGATGGATGCGTTTGCGGTCCCATGGACGTCGTAACTGGCCATTGGCTGGCTCCCGGCACGTCCTGGTTACGCCGTGCACAGGACCGCATTCTCACACATTCCATGGGCCCTGAGGTGGCAGACCGAGCTCTCCCAAAGCCTTTCTTCTCTTTCTACTTTTTCTTTCTGCTCTTTGTTTTCCTTTCTCACCTTTCCCCCTGTCATACAGCCCGCTCAAGGCGAAGAGACTGAGACGGAAAGCACAAAGGGCGTACAGCCAGCGCCTCAGTATGGGAACACTAGATCCATGCAGGCAGCCTCGGGAAACAAAACCACAGGTTTTGCCGTGGAGGCACGCGGATGTCGTCGCAAAGGAGGCCAGGAAAAGGCAGGAGATGGAGGGACAAAGGGAAGATGGGAGGCTCACCTAGAACAATGGAGCGTATATATATATATATATATATAGGTACAAGGTATATATATATATAAAGACGGCGGAAGAGCCAACAAGTGAGAAGTAGAAGAAAGGATAAGGCCGCTGCAATATAGTTATTCTGCAATGGCCGTTGAAAGAACCACGTCGTCTGTTGCGCCTTTGTCGTCACGCCGAAGTGAAATTCGGGGGAAACGGATGAGTCTGCACACGGAACAAGGTTAAAACTAGCACATATAAGCCTCAAAAGGTAAAAAAGAAGAAGAAGACAAAAAAGATGGAGGAGAGAGGGAGAATTAAGGTTGGGCCAGCCAAGTGCGCAGGGTGTGGTCATGGATGGATAAATCGGCTCGTAGACGCAGGGACGTTGTGGGGTACGGTGGGCTTGGGGGGGCGTCGGGGGGGTGGCGGTAGCGGGCAGGTCTCAGGTGGCCGCTGGCTGGGAATTTTTGGGGAGATTCGGCGCTTCTTTTGCCTGCTAAGAGGTGCACGTATCTTTGCCTATTTTGCTGGTGCTTCAGGTGGCTGTCTGGCGATGCAGGAGCGCTGGATGCGGAGTAGCGATGGCCGCTGTGGAAAAAGACACTTGTACTCTGTACAGTGTGTTGCTGGAATCCACGTTTGTGCACGCGACTGAGCGCCGCACAACAAAGACATCTATATTTAAACATATAAGCATCCTTTCTTTACTTTTTTTTTTTTTTTTTTTTTTTTTTTTTTTTTTTTTTTTTTTTTTTTTTTTTTTTTTTTTTTTTTGCTTTTCTTTTTCTTCTTCTTTTCGCTTTTTCTCTTCTTCACTTAACAAAGACAGAACGCAAGATGAGTGGGAAAAGAATGCAAAAGACGAAGGAAAAGAGATATCCTCTTGTCGTCCTTGTTCAGGTATATCCGCTGGTAACTGTACTCGTGTCCTTTACTTCACTCAGCAGCGAATTCCGCAAGCATTTCGGAGTACAAAGTACAATGCAATCAGTGCATACCTTATACAAATAGTCTCATCAAGTGTCTGTAGTAATCATGTTAAAAAAAAAACGGCTTCTCACTTGCCGTGTTAGCCTCCAGGCTTGCGTGCCGAGCGCCGTCTTGCCCTGTTGGCTCAATATGTGTGGCGGAAATCGGCTTCGTTCTCCAGTCTGTCATGTACAGCAACAGTTTCTTGCCGCCTGGGTGAATCCTCCGGCTTATTTCGCCCAGTTCCGTAAGGTTGGGACAGCAAAGTACAAGGGGGAAAAATTAAAACATAAAAATAAAGGTTGGGCGTGCCGCTTCTTAGAAAGAATGACAACTCTTTAGTCCCCTGTCATAGTAGAAGAGCGAGGCAGTTTAATGAGTGACAAAGCGTATTATACAGACAAAGAAACAAAGGCGAAAAAAAAAACCCCATAGAAAGGGCTGATTAGAGATATCGGCATCTTCATCTCATCTCATCGCATCTCACACTCGTACCATGTCATTCCTTGTCTCTTTACAAATACGTCCAGCAAATCGCCAAAACGCAACTCTGCGCGGCCTGGTCACCAACAGCCTGGCCACCATGGAAAAGACGGCAATTAAGGGACGACACACGGCCGGTGTGGGGTGTACAGAAGAACAGACCCAGCGTCCTAGCATTGTAGTCTTGGCACTTGGCTACTTGCTAGACACCGGGAATAATGCGCGGGATTCTATCAGCTGTGCGCCAAGGCGACAGAAGAGAAAGGGAATTTGCCAACCCTAAAAAGGGCTCCTCAAAAAGTCCGGTTGTTCGGTGCCGGGCTTGCCAGAGACGATGACTCGTGTTGGCGAACCCCCCCTCCCCATTCTTTTTGTTCGGAGATGGGAGCAACCCAGATTTTGCAAGATTACCTCGCTGTAGTGAGTTGTTCTTATTTGACTGACACGCCTCGGTCTCAATTTCTGCCGCCGGGCCGAGAGAGGACAAGGACTAAACCGCACGGCATGATTAATACTACTAGCACCAGCAAGCCTCCGACGGGATGGGCGGCATCGGCTTGTCAGAAATGGTCATTTGGCCAGCAACACAAGAGCGGGAGACGATGTCGAGAAGTGCAGAGCCACGAGTTCCGAGCCCGAGCCCGCGTACGTGGACAGCCCAGAGTTGTTGTTTTCGCATCATCATCGTCATCAACACAGCCACGCATTCACGCGTTCTTCCTCATTCTCATTGCACAAGAAGGGAATAAGGAAAAAAGAAGAAGAAAAGAACCACCACCACCACAGTATTCACCAAACGCTATGTCCTCGTGCATAATCAGCGCCGCGCCGCTACGGGACTGGCGGTATAATAAGGTCATAGAATTCCTCCTAAGCTTATTTTCAATACTCGCTGACGAAAAGGCTTAGCCTGCCGCCACTGACTACATAGCGCCAATTCGCGACAAGGATTCCCTGCTCGTTTGCCGTTTACTGTAGCAATCTTTTAGGAATCGTCCTGTTCCTTCAATTCCTGCTGCGGACACCCCCTCCCCTTTTTTTTTTCCCTTATTTCCCCTTCTATTCTCTTTTCTCCCCGGTGCCGTTTTGCCCGCTGAAGTGAATAGTTTGTGTTTGAGGAGGGCGTGAGCTTGTGTACTTTTTTTTTTTTTTTCTATTCTCAGTGCACTTTTTCTGCGCCTCCCCTAATAGTAGCAGCCCCTAAAAAAAGAAGAGCCCGTGCCAGGAGCCGATATTCTGGATAAATCGGCACGAGGGCTTTTTTTCCCCTTCTCCTTGGCCATGGCTGGGGAGGTTTACGCGTTGTTGAGGCTTGACGACTGACTGCTGCCATTTTACGGGCGATAACAGATCCAGTTGCACCGCATTAAACGGCATATTAGTCTACGGCTATAGGTGGTGCTAGGGATGCTTTTTGGGTGACACGCCGCCATGCTTAATCTCAGCGACGTTGAAGTGAGATAAAGTAAAGTAAAACATCCGTCAAATAAAGTAATGAGGCAAAATAAACAAAGAAAAAGGTTACCAAAAAGAAGAATGGCGTTATTCATCCATTACCCTTTTCAGGTCCGTGTGACTGCTGCATAGGTAGGGAAATCAATGGCGATCTAGCCAAGGCGAGCGTATAATAGATTAATTAAAAAAGACAATAGATTGCCATCCCACGTTGGATTTCTCGGCGATGCGGCCAAGCGTGTACATGCGCTGCTAGCAATTTAACAGCGGCTGGCAAGGTAACTCCACGGGTATTGCGGCTTTTTGCGGCTATCTGGCCTCATCCCTCACAGAGCGCTAACAGTCGCTTCTCCAGAGCACCAAGTGCCGTAGCTGCCGATGAAGGGGGGGCCGTGCAGAAACTTTGATTGCGTTTGGGTTTTTATCCTTTTATCTCATCTGCGCTTTCGTGCTTCGGGCTATTCTAGCGACACTACTCGGCGCCTGCTATCCACTGGGGGCCCTTTTTCCCTCTCGATTTCCCACATCCCGAGGCCATTTTGTTCTGGCCGATGGGGCCTTTTTGAGAATCCACCGGAGCTTGAGGGGCCGAACTTCCGACGAGCGCATGCGTATACAGTCGCAGTATACGTGCCGTTCTACCCAAATACGGGCTTCGTGACGAAGCAAATGCTCTTATACGAGAATTGTCTGGTCTCCTTTAATCGCTGTGGGAGCCAAGGAGGGACGAGAAGCGTCTATTCTTAGCAACAGTCATTACGAGATGGAAAGAGGAAAGGGGGAGTCGATCTCGCCAGCTGCGATTTTCCGGCCAAAACTCAAGACTCAAGATTGCGCCATCACATAGGCGATATTCAATCCTCTCGCTTCATCCCATATTCCTGGTACAGCTTGACCAGTCGCTAGACGGATTAGGCCATAGAAATTAAGGTGTCGCATAAGGTCAGTAACTGACAGCCATACAAGGAAGGAGGATCTCCAGGCGGCTACTCGGCTCCAGGAACTACTCCTATACAGGCACAAGCTACTAGTAGGACGTGGATAGCCTCCTGCTAATGCTTGCATGTATTCGGACTACCACCTGAACCTGCATCTCCTACGGTTCGCCATTTCCCCACGATATCGAATTGTCCGAAAAATCGGCGACCAAAGTATAGAGCCTGAGTAGTGGTAGAGGTATTATACCTTGAAGCGGCAAATCAAACCAGCCTCCCCCAGCTAGAGCTATACTAGCAGATACTATCTGTCCATGCAGCCTACCTATTGTAGAAAATGTGGCCGGAGCACAAGCACAGAGCTGGCCACGTAATGCCTTGGGGCTATGTACGAGCGTACTACATGCTATCTACTATAAGAGGCAGAGGATATTTTTCCGTTCGAGAAGGGGAAAAAGGCTTTCCCAGGCAGTTGCGGGAGCGTCTTCGGGAGTTATTTGCCGCGTGGGCTGTTTCGCGATGGAGAATGGTGCCGATATCCATAAGGCACGGGCCACCTCTTCTTTCTGATGCTTCTTTGATTTATGCCTTGTGCTAAGCATTTGCCCAGGCAAGACAGGCAATGTGAGACGTTGTGCCGATCCCATGAGGTTAACGGGTAAGCATGTTTGCACTAGGCCCGTAGAGGGAATTGGCAAAGTGCAAGATCAGCGCCTCTGCCATTATGGCGTATCTAAAATCTCTCGAGAGATTGCGCTGCTCATTGATGTGCAAGCAAAGTACGTACAGCATGTACCTACGCTCCTCTTCCCTTTGGTTCAAACATGCTTATCCATGCCACTGGCGCTGCTGGCATGCCCCCCTCCAAAAGAGGAGGCAAGCAAACAATAATGCATGCGACTAAGGGCACGTAAATGACGTGACGACAGATACGCCGCGGCTGGTCAGCAAGGCGCGCGAGATTCGGTTCAGACGGCCAGCCTTGCCTTGGGGTGTCGGGAGATAGGCGCACGCCCCTAGTCAGTCGCCGGAACGGGCCTAGAGGGATACCGACGAGGAAAGAAGCACCACAGTGCCTTTTCCCTCTCAGCGCCCCGTAATGACGTCGCCATCAGCACGCCGAGCCGGCTGCGGCGGCCCTCGAAAGGGCTGGATGAGTGCTAAGACACGCTTTCGTTCTTGGCTCTGCAAGGCAGAGAAAAGAGGATCAAGGGGACAGATGAAGGTGCATAAGATATAACGCGACATGGAAATTAACTCTAAAAATCGACATGCGCTTGGATACGAAGGACGCGGGCTTTCTTTTTCGTTTCCTAATCTGCAGTAATAAGCGAGCGACAGATCAGCAGCGCACAGTGCGAAGCCATCCAACATATGCCTTTTTGGGTCCAACAGGCGACACTGATAAGCTGCTAGTCTAGACTCTTGATCGGCCTGCCGTCCGGGTAATCGGCTTCCACATCGCTTCCATCCCACAGTCTGGGTTTCAGAAAATGGAACTGGGCTTGCTTCACTGGGAAAGTGCAAGACAGATGACCTTCCCAATCTCTCAAGGCGCCGAGATGTGCATCTCGATATCTTTTTTTTTTTTTTTGTCTTTTGATCGTCTTTCGTTTATAAATGGCCCAGTTAGTTACTACTAATACTTTTCGCTTCGACGCGAAATTTGATGAAAATCTTTGAGCGGCCGTTTTGCCAAGCCAAGATTGGCGATCCAGGGCCCGCATCCCGTCTCTGGCGGCCTAGGGGAGAAACCTGGCACATACTGTATGCTACGTAGCATACTTGTATCTCTCCTTGGAAAAGAATGACCCTGTTTGAGAAAAGACAAGCTCGTGCTGAATTCTCAATTTTACGACACACTATGTGATGCTACTATGAACATTCTGTAGCACCTCCCAGCATGTTCGTCTCCAGACAGACAGGGAATTGGCCGGGGGGATCTTATCTCGACCCATTCCCCTCGCGGTCGTTATAGCCTGCAGTATGCTGTACAGAGTGCAAGCTGTTACATGCAATAGCTCCCATTCAGCAATTCTGCGCCTTGGCAAAGCAGAAACTGGACAGCTGCGGCTGCAGGCAACAGAAGAGCAGCCATAGAGGATGGGAAAGAAGGTCATTGAGAATGACCGGGGTGGATAAAACTTGGTGGAAACGTCAGCCGTTATTGGACGCAGCTGAGTGCTGAGTGGGGACGCTACGGAAAAGTCGGCCGGGGAAAAAGTGTCTTTTGCTTTCTTTTTTATTTTCTTCATTTGTGCGGCGGTTCCACCCTAAAGCCAAGCTTGCGCGTTTAAGCATGAATTTAAGCGTTGTCAGCCACTATGCTTGGCACGGCAACTACTCCCATCTGCAAAGGGCAAAGGGCGTGGCTATATGAATGCCTTTTCCAGCATGCATTCGGCGGCGTCAGATGGTGCGCGCGTGGATTTGATTTCGAAGGCGCCTCCCCGCGCATCACGGCGCCTTGCCTGCGCTCGCTGCAGCGGGTTTCAAGCATGCAAAATGGCCCAGAGCTGGCGCCTTGTCGCCATTCCTCTTCGCCAGTCGCGGTGGAAACGGTGGCTTGCCATCGGTGGAGCCGCTGAAGCACTTGGCGCAAATCTAAGATGCCGTGCTTGCCGACTTGGCTCGCAGGGAGAGGGGGTGTGGAGTTTGGCGACGGCCATGGCAAGGGCGTCTCGTGGCATTGGCCAGTGCTAAAGACGCCGAGCCTTGCTGATCCTGAGCTTGGCAGCGTATTCTAATCATAGCAGCTGGACCGGACAATGGACGGATTACGGAGTGCTTTGTCGAGCTTCATTTCCGCGTATCACGACGACAGCCAAGGCGTCTTTTTACCACTTGTCGGCGTCTGATTAAGCAGCGATTCCCTCGGGTGGTACGTAATACGAACCCAGTCCCAGTTCTAGACACACAGTGTGTGCTGCAGCAGAGAAGCAGAGAAGCAGAGAAGACAAGAAGCAGAGAGAAATGGGCACAGCACAGGCCGCGACGCATTCAAGGTCCGATTATCCGACCTTTTGAGCACGGCACTAGTCTCAGCGCCGGGCTCGTCTCTAGCATAAGGTTAATTCATTGGTCTGCTTCAGCGCAAGGGCTCGTGACCCCCAGCAGGCAGGACTAATTCAACACGCCTTGGGCTCGGGTGCTTACTCGCGACGTGCTAAAGGCGAGATAGAAGCCAATTTGTAATGCTGCCTCTCGCTAGCAGGCGTGCTATGTGGATGCCTGCTCTGGGAGAGGCACCAGCTGTCTTTGCTGGCTTTTTCACACACTCAATTGTGATATCCTACAGCTCGAGTGCGGGATCATATATCGCACATGTACTGTAGCGGCGCACGTAAATACGCCTCTTTTTTCTTTTTTCTTTTTTCTTTTTTTTTTTTTAACCCTGCTCCAATCTGCTGCTTCGGGAAAGACCTTCGCCGGTGTTGAATAGTCCGAGCCTGGCCGGAGGGTTTTTCTCAAGCAACATATGCAGTATGCTTATCCAGGCTTACTTCGACGACATGGATGGTTTATAAATGGATGCCCGCAGAGCGCCCAATAGCTGCGTGCTAAGGAACATTAAGTTTCGATCATGACAATGTAGGGTAAGCAGAGAGGCAGCCAACTGGACCGGTCTGTGGACTTTAATAGCAAGCGTATTTTTAGCTCAACTGGAGGATCAATAAAGCACCAGCGGGCACTTCGCTTTGTTGATCGCCCGCGCAGAGCCCGTTTTCTGGCAGTCGATCGCTTTTTTTACGAATCGCATGAGCAAGTTATGGGTATTAGAGGAGCCACCGTATGGAGTATGGATTATATCATACACGAGCGAGCTGCAGATTGGAGTGGGCAACACTCCGTATGGGACAAGATACTTGCAGCTATATTGCGGTCCTGCATGTACTAAGGACTAAGCTACTTACTAGCATTGAGAAAAGAGAAAAGAACTAGCCAAGTCTCGCTCTTTGCTTGGCACTCGGGGCTGTTAGTCAATAGGTACTAAGCCAAGACTGCGCACATGTGCAGTATCTGCACTTATACTCGACGCGCATGGGGCTATACGACAAGCCAAGCTCTCTCCAATGGCCGACGAGGCACCTACAGAACATGATATGGAGTCAGGCCATGCTTTTTTAGTCATGTAGACCATCAGTAAAGTAAACAAGTCCAAAACTAGCTAGATCACCCTCCATCAGCGTAAAGGACATCTCCGGATGCACACCTGTGCTACCACCACCTTGACACTTTATCCTGGCAGGGAGCACAAGGCCTTCCCGTACTTGCAAATTCAATGATTCCATGCCGTTGAGAGGGGTAATAATAAAAACAATAATAAAAACGGCGCCATGTGTTGAAAGGCGTCAAGATTGCCTTCTTTGCCGAGGAAAGAAGAGGAGAAAAAGCTTGGCCTCGTTAGTCATGGAGACGATTGGCTGCACACGACTTGGAGAAGCTCCAAGCTTTCTCTTCACCCTTAAATGCCTTTCCCATGCATTAGCGGGCATGGCGTAACCTTACTTTTAATCCTATCGTGGTTGCCAAGAAAGGGCGCATCTGGATGGTGCGACGCTGACAACTCTTTTTGTTTTATTCGCTTTCTTGGAGGGGGGGTTTGTTTCCGGCATGGTTGTCACATGTTTGAGATATGTGACGAAAAGGCCTGTTTGGCATGGGATGAGGATTGCGTATCTTTTTTCTTCTTTTTCTTCTTATCTGTTCTCTCCCATGTATATGCATGTGCAGTTAAGCAGCGACATGCACTGTGAGTGGGAGGGCTACCTATAATAGCGGATGAACCGGAACAGAGCAGCGGTGGTCTTTTTTTGGACTCTAAAGACTGGGTGTCAAGCCTGTGGCGTGCCCCCCCGCGGCCGACATTTCTGGCTATCGGCGCGAATGGTAACAGAGTCTTGAGAGTCGAGCCAAAGGGAGAAGAAGAAAAAAAAAGATATTAATCATCTTTGCGCTTCACAGGGAGAAGTAGACGGAGTATAAGCGTTCTGATTAGAAAAACAGAGTGCGCTGTTGTGGAAGAAAGGCATGCGTATGAAGTACGTGGCTTGCATTGAATGGGTTGAAGTTGACTCAGTATACTGATGGCTTGCTGCTGCCTACTTATTTGCCAAGTTGAAGGCATACATCAGCTTGCCAATCTGATAGAGGTCCATGCCATTACGACTCTACAAACCTGAAGTTTTGAGCTACTATTGTCGTTGTAGAGGTGGAAGCAATCGCTCTCCCATAGGCTGTAGATAAAAGCAAGGCTATTGCTATTGTTCCTTGTTTCTCCTATTGAATGGTTTATGCTTTCCCCATAAATATCCGAATATCCGGCAAAAGAGAATCGGACAGTTCTCTGGTCGAGCTCACTCTTTCCAGTAACCTTTACGTCCTCTCGGAGAATATCCTCGGCATAAGCAGGCAGGCATGTGCATCTCCTGCAACTAACCGTACAAACCAGAGTAACTACACTGATCTAATTACCAACCCAAGGATCAATGCATTTGGACTATTCTATATTCGAACGTTATAAATTTATCCCAGAAACGTATTGGCGCTGTTTCTTATATTAGAAAGGTGCTGCATAACGATACTGACAATCGCATCGATGAAATCATAACCAACATTATAAATTATAATTAACATTGCATCTTAATGCTTACATCTCCTTGCAGATAACCGTCCTGTTTTCTCTTTCCTAGAATACTTTCTTATATAACTCAATATTGGAGGATAAACTCTGTATAGATGTATACGGGCAGCTTGCGAGACTTGTAAGGCCATTTTCTCTAGCTGGAGAGAGCAGTTCCATTACATGTCTCCTAACAATGACTTCATAATATTATTTGGAGCTGCAGCAATAAAATTTGTTCACTGGAAATAACACAACGGCACGCATTATTGGCCGCGAGCCAGAATGATATCTCCAAGCCAACTAGTCGTCTTGGAACTTCAGCAGATTACACCATTTAAGCATCAGTTGCAACTTTACCTACTTTATATTCCTAGTAGTACATTTGTTCAGCTTAGAATCCACTTGAATAGAGTCATCCCCGAAGACTGGGCCGTTTGATCTCCGGGACCTACGAGGTGGCTCGAATACGATGGCTAAGTGTAGAAAAGCAGAGTACTCTGGTCTGGAGTCAACAATGTCCTATTATAGGTACATCACTATTGAAAATCGAATTTTGATACTAGTGTACTTGGTACGCACACGACGTACTGACCGCATATAACGAAGATGACGTTGGAAGTAGACCGCAGAGCAGCATATGATTCAAGGCCGCGCACATATTTCATGAATCATTTCTTTAATTGGTTCATGCTCGTGCTCCACACGCGTGTGAGATTATAGTACAATGCTATAACCGTCTATGATCGTCCATATAGTAGAAGATGGTTATTGTCATGTAAAATTAGTTTGATGATGATAGAGTGGCATATAAGACAGGACGCGCAAGCAATATATACGTACACGTATATACATGCATATTACATATGTAAATCTCTACATTTGGCTCAGTTTTAAGCTTATTTGCTCGAGCTAGCCACTGAAATTTGATGCCTCTAGTCATTCCGCCTTCATATACTCTCTCATATCAACGACCAGATTCGAAGCTCAATGGCACATCATGCATACTTCGTGCTGGATACATGCCACCTAGTAGGTATCTCGGAGATGAAGTGAGCGCATTATTGCATATCCGAATTTATCACTACTGTACGTAATCAGCGCAGGAGTGTCTTGCAATTTCTGGCAAGATTGAGTAGTAATCAACTATCCTAAGCCTCGCTGACATGGATCCATAATGGTTCGCACGCATGCTTCTATTTTTTTTTTTTTTTTTTTTTTTTTTTTTTTTCAAATAAAGAAGAGGTTCAGTTCCTGGACGATTCCAATTCTGTCATTCTTAGCTTCTAATGTATAACTGTTATTGTTGTCTATAGATGGTACATATTGCAAAACAGTTCGTCTATTTGATGAGATGTTGTGCTACTGCATCATTCGGAGCACGTCTGTTGCCAAGGTGTATGTATACATATATATCTACATAAGTAGGAAGAGGAAATTGAATTGATTTAAAATTGGAAGACATTTAAAATTTTGGGACTCTGCTATTTAATCCTACAGTAGAAGAATAAGGTAGCCAGTAAGCAAGCAAAAATACCTAGGTAGTTCGTATTACTGCAGATGCATCCTCCTCCTCGTATGTGCTTAGTCTAGCCGAGTTTTGGGTGATGGATACTACATGGAGCAGCCTCCGCCTATAACTCCGGACTGATAGAAATCGAACTCGGGCGTATGCTTATTCATTCGGATATGCTTCCTTTGCATCAAGCGCTGTCCCCATTCCTGCTAGCGTTTCATCACCGGCATCTAGCATCCGGAATAGACACATGAAAGGGCCCTCGCACGAGTCTCACAATGGCAAAACAAGCCTTTTTGCCTAATCTCGCAGCAGAGAATACGTAGCATCCCGCCTAAGCTCCGTCTTGTGCAACTTGCATAACCAGCGGCTCACAGATAGGCTCAACCGCCAATGCGCTGCCTCGAGGTTACCCTTTTCGGTAACAGCCTCGTCTACTGACATTCTCTCTGCCTTTCCTACTATCGGTACGAATTACTCCAGCTTAAACAAACAATCCTATGCGGTTGTTTTATTTTATTTTATTTTCTTTTCTTTTATTTTCTTTTCCCCCTTCTTATTCCCTCTTCTCTTCTCCCCACGCCCCCTCCCCCCTCCATTTATTCCTCTCTTGCAGTGTGTATTCTTTTTCCTGGTTTTATTATCTCAAACCCACCCCCTCCCACGCCAACTCGGTTCGTACGGCACGGCGGCCCAGCTTCCCCTCCATTTTCTCCAAAGATTCCTGTCCTTCTTCTAGATTACTATACTCCTCCCCCCACCAACCGGTAAAAGGAAAAAAAAAAAAAAAAAAAAGCACTTCGCCAACAGGGGAAAGGAAAAAGCCACAGCGTCAACGGCCCCTTCAGCCTTTTGCGTCTCAAATAATCCCTAGCTCAGCAGGCGATGCTTCCAGCAGAAGCAAATCCGTTCGAACGAGGAAGGGGGTCATTCGCCTCTTTTTTCCCGCTCCGGCCACAAGCAAGGATTAAAGAAAAAAAAGCAAGCAAGTAAGGAATAAGATAAAAGTGACGCTTGTACTGTGCTTGTGTGCGCTGACAGTCCCATGTGCGTTTGGCTCCCATGTGGATTCATCCAGATATGGTTGATTATGCTTATGCGAAACTGGCCCCCATCAGAAAAAGCCCAGTCCCAACCCCATGTCCTGCCCAAATTCCTAGGCTGGCTGAAAGCAAGGCCTGGTTCCAACAAAACCCTTTGCTGCATCGTTCCTTTGCCCTTTTGGATGCGCTATTCGTTGCGCCACGCCACTAGTTATCAAATGGTCTGTTGGCTCGCCGGCCGAGCTTCTCCGTGGCGTCTTCAAGGGCTGGAAACAAGCAAAAAGACCCTTGAGAAATACGGGGTAGCGCGTACCGACCTTCTGCTCAAGCCCTGGCTTGCTGTTGATACCCGTTGGCCTGGCTGCTTCGAGCTGGAGCTGAAGAGGGGGGGGGGGGCCTTATCAAACGGCTGAGGCATTTCAAATGACAAACAGCTAAACACGCAACCATCTCCTTCGTGGCGCCGCCCGTGGTCTTTCAGCAGGTGTTAGCTCAGCGCTGGGAGGCGTCTCGGTTTCTGTCATTGGGGGCGATATTTGATTCCCCCATGCAATGCCCGCGCTACTTCCAATAGCAATTAACCCGCACGAGGGCATCATCATGCTCTCTAGTTCACCATGAATCCTCCGCCACAGCTGCGGATACTGCGGATATCGACAAGACCGCGGCATATTCGTAGGAAGCGATTGGGCAAAATTACAGATGGTTCTTTTCCACTCGGTTGTCCGGCAAGTGAAACTTGCATGGGAAGGAATCCTGTTCAAAATGTCGTCGTTTGTAAGAACGAAAAATGCTTCTCCGGGGCGCACACCCATATACCGCAAAAAATCTGGCGAGGCTCTGGTAAACGCTGGGTGTGCGGGCAATAAGTTGAAGCTGAGCTGACGCCTAGGGATGGCTGCAAGCCTCAAATAGGTAAGGAACAAATAACTCAGCTTTGGATGATTAGAGATCCCAAGATTCGGTGCTTTTGATTGTCTTAGCGACGGCGGTGATGGTACTTGCTAGATTTGGGAATCAAAGCTACTCGGTAGGCAGGGTCTGTAGCTACGGGGTTTCATCTGTCAGTGACTGAGTGCCTTCATACATGATACTAAGTGCTATGATACCATTGCTTCCTCTGTTTCGCTGTAGAATTATATATAATGAATATGCTTGTTCTATAGAGCGAGCCGCGGAGCCGGTCGCCGTCTTCCAAGTATATACCCAAAGGCTAGCCTTGAACTCCATGTCCATAGCATCGTCCATAAAGCAAATGAGTTGTGGTAGCTGCGGGATCAATATCTCCTGGAGCTCTGTTCAAATATGCTGTAGTCACTTTTTCAATGGAGCAGGGGTTCGACACAACTTATTCGCCATTCTCTGATAATTGATAGGGGGGTTTTTATTCTCCATTTCATCATCCAAACAGCGTGTTTTACAGTATCTTACATATAGCCAACAAGTCAAGCTGGTATCATAGTACGAGATGAGGGCTTCTCAAACGTATTCTTCTTCTTCTTCATCCTATGCATTCATACATACCCTATCCATGTACGGTCCCAATTTGGTAATATTTGAACGGAATACAACAAAATCAGATCTCCGAATCCACCGCAGCACGGCTAGATGCGTCCCTGCAGCGTCACGTTCATCATAAGCTGTGTTATCGTGACTAGGAAAAAGGGAGCCAATACTTGGGTTTGGGTAGCATATCTCTGAACATAATAGGTGAGGCTGGGGCTGAGAGTAGAAATAATGCAAGTCGCCGAACACCAAATGAAAAGAATCTCATCGCCTTCCCGCATAATCGCGCCCATTGTCGCAGATGGCCAAGTCACACAAGATCTAATTTCTCCATTCATGAGTGGCAACCACGCTCGCTGAGTGGGATCCAATCGCTACCGGAGCATCAGTGTCGGCCCCCCCGCCTCGCGCGTAAGGTGCTCAGATATAAATAAGAAAAGAGACTTGAACATTGGCACATGCAGCTTCCCACAAAGCCCTTCTCGTCTTTGAACCCCAAGATCGGGTTACGTAGTGTAACAATAAGTCGCGGCGTGGCGTTGCGTCATGCAATCGGTCCCCTGACGCAGATCGCCGTTTGCTGCTGCTGTGCGAGCAGGCTTGCCTGAAATGAAACAGTCCGAGGTAGGCAAGCATTGACGAGCACAACAGGCTGGTTGCTTATCATTTCCCGAGACGTCGGGGCAATGTCCTGTCTTAGTGACGAAGCTTGATGTGCCACGGAGAGTCGAAAAGATAGCCGCATTTAGCAATCGCAGCGCTCGAAATGGCGTGGAAATGGCACTACATCACGGACGTTGGGTACACCAGTCAAATAGCTTAACAGGCGGTCAAACCCAAGACCAAATCCTCCATGGGGAGGACATCCCCAGCGTCTCAGATCTAGATACCACCCCATGTCGTTGGATCTGGCTTTCCGGTGTGTTGGGACCTCTAGGCCATGCAAGCGCATGTTGTCCTCAAGTTGGGCAAGCCGATACTCCCTCATGGATCCTCCCGCAAGCTCTCCAAGATTAGGAACAAGGAGGTCGAAGCAATCGACCGTCTGCCCCTGAGGCGGGGGAGACTGTGACTGGAGCATGTAGAAAGCTTTGATATCTCGTGGGTATTGGGTGACAAAGATGGGTAGCAACGCGTCGCTTGCTGCATCATATCCGATCTTCTCAGCCAAGTATTTTTCATGTTCTGACTGAAGGCCTGATCCCCAGACGGGCTTATGTTCGAACATATGGGCCACGGGTTCGAGGATTTTGATGGCTTCTGTGTACGTCACCCGTGGCCATCTAGTCGGCGCCATAAGACCCCTCCATCGCTGTTGTAGTTCCTTGATATCTACAAGGTCCTCAAATGCTAAACGTTCCGCAGGGTCTCTGGAATCAAGCCGGTGCTTTTCGAGTTCCTGCGCGGCACTGCGCTGGCTGAGCCCGCTAGCAAGCGACGCCAGCATTTTTTGGGCGAGGTCCATGACCTCATCCATGTCTTGAACGAAGCTCATTTCAGTTTCAAGCATATAAAACTCACTCAGGTGCCGAGAGGTGTCACTTTGCTCGGCTCGGAAGGTAGGCGATAGAGTCCATACATTTCCCAGCGCTTGAGCTAGAGCCTCTAGATGAAGCTGTGATGAGACAGTGAGGTACTTGGGGTCTCTGAAGAACTCGGAAGGCGCGCCGCTCTTGACGGTGAATGCTTCACCAGCACCCTCGCAGTCTGATGAGGTGATGATCGGGGGGTGGGTCTGCTGAAACTGCTCATTGAAGAAAAATTGGGTTAGGATGGCCATGGCATCTGACCTTAGCCGAAGCAGTGTCGAGTTGAGAGGAGTTCGCGGCCGAAGATGGGATATTGCTCGCAAGCTTTCTGGTGTTTGATACTTGTTCTGAATTGGATATGTCTTGAAAAACGTCAGAATAGATGAACGCTTGCTTCAGGGGGGAAACTATTTGCAAAACGGCTTCAGCCTTACATGGGGATCAGACGAGCCGAGGATTTCCACCTGGCTGACTTGTAATTCAGCCATAGCTGAGGCCTGGGTTTGGCCACGGCTTGTTACCGTGGTGCTAGACGCCCCTCCTTCTTGCACTGATATCGAGGACGATGACGGCGGCAAGCTTGCTGCTGAGGCCTGTTCTGAACTGCGGCCGGGGTTGTTCGAACTCGGCTGGTGGCCAGCCGGGGTTTGGATGCCTGCAATTGGACTACGACGAGCAAGGCTGTCACCTTGAGACTCTACGTTGGACAGCAATTTAGAGGCGCTACTGTGCCAGACGCCCGTGAGGCGAACGGCTGCACCTGGGCGTATACTACGAGGCCTGTCAGCTGCTGCTCGCCATAATGCCGGGACGAGGGCTGACGTACTCTGCGGCCAAGCTCTTGTCAATCACAGCCTGCATTGGCCTCATGGACGACCCGTCTGTGATGTCAACGAACCGCACACTGGAGCTCTTGCGAACCGACCTGACCCAGCCGCAGACTTGCACATCCGAGACACGGCGTTCAGGCTGCCATTCTTTCAAGTCTGCCACTGTCCTGATGTCCCGGAAGCTCTGGCCCTCGCCGCCACCGTCGCCAGGGACACGCACCGAATAGCATCGCCTATAAGGAAAAGGATGGCGTCGGTAGCGCCTGGCAAGCAGGCGGAAGGGATGAGACATGGTTGGATGTTGGCCGCTCACGGGGGCTTCAGCAAGGCAGCAGAACGTGGGCAGTCCGTCTCATGACGTGTGCCCTCCTTTCAGGCCGGCAGGGAGATGGCGCAGGGTTTGTCTTTGGTTCTGCGCCGTATTGCAAGCCAGTGGCTGTCATATGTTTCGTCTTTAGATTGCAGAGAGGTTGCTTTTTTGGTGGGCTGAGAGCTGGGAGCAGGGATTTGGCAGAATGAGAAAAAAAGGAAAAACTGTTGCGCCGCTGGCTGTAGGCCCAGAGCGGTGAATGGTGGTACCACGCAACGTTATTAGCGTATACCTGGCGCATGCACTATGAGATGCGTCTTGGCCAGTGCTGCTCTACATGTAATTGCATTCGAGTACTAGCATTGGTTCTCTATGCCTGGCTTTCCACCCTCCCGGTGCTCTCGTTGTCTATGATATCAAGTAGAAGCAGTGCTAGGCTGTCAAGATAGACAGCAGCGCTAATGAAAGGAGAAAGAAAAGGCATCTCGGTAGCGCCAGGTAGTGGTGCTGTGGCGTTGCGGATAGCCACCGTTAGAGGCGTATTCCTCCTTGCAGCCTGGCTACCAGCCGCTGCAGGTATCTTGCATGGTGCCGCCTCATCGCTCTCGCCTCATATTTAGTACCCGCTGCCTGAGCGAGCGTACTGTAGCGTGTACTCTAGCCGCGGGAGATTGCCCAAGAACCTTACCTGCTACTAGCCTTAGTAGGGACTTAGGGACCTGGGTAGGCATGCTACAGCACGTCAACCGCCAACGGCAAGGCATCGTCGACGAGGTGCGCTCGACATGTTTGCTTGCCTGCACACTGCACAGAACAGACCTCAACGCCGCCTCGCCTCTGCCTCTTGCAAGGCTCTGGATAGCCGAAACGCATGCTCTGGGAGGGCGTTTCGCATCCTTCGCCCGCCTAATCTCCCTTCTCCTCTCTTGTCTTGTTGGCTGGCGGCCACCGAGTGATGAGCGCCTCCTCTGAATGGCCGTGAGAAAGACGCCATGTTCCACTCGCACCCACCACCTGTCTGGCGACTACGGCCCTTCTCATCATATCCAGAAGAAGCCATGTCGCTTCCACGAGATTGGCTCTTGATAAGCTGTAGGCGGCGTCCCGGCTAGTGATCGTCCAACCAGCTGGTCTTTGCATGTCTCAGCTCGAGGCTGGCCGTCCATCTCCAATCCTCAGCCCGCCGCCGAGCATCATGCCCATCCCAAGCGAGTGCCCTGGGATTGGGCCGTCGATACGACCAGCAACGCCCAACAAGACATAGCCGCTGCTCTTGGCCTCATGAGTGTGCGTGCCATACAATAAATACCACACGTACGGCAGATCCGTCACCCAGACCCGGGGGCCTCGAACCCCCCGGCCCTTGTCCTGCGCCGACGCAGACTAGTTCAGATCCTTGCAAGGTTCAACAGGGCGAGATGAGGTATCACAGATCTTATGCGCATGCGTCCGCAGCTACACTCCGGCCTATGCCAAAAGCAACAGTCACGAGTGCGCCTCGTCATGACTTCCGTCCGCTATGCTCGCCTGGACGTATTCTTGCCGTTGCTGGCCCTTATCGAACCCAATGAGCAAGCGCATTCGGCTCCGCCCACTGGGTACCCCCAGTGGTGTGAAGCCAGAAGCTTCATAGTGAACCATGAACGCTGTCCAAGAATGTCTAAGAGGCCCGCGGGGCACACCGTATCATGTCTCTCTGGCTTTCGACCGGGGGCTGTCGGCCAGGACCAGTGCTGTTGAGATCCCGCAGGTCTCTGATCCAAGGGTCAAATACTCCTTACTCTATCCTGGACGTTAATACCTCCCACCGTGCGTGTCCCGCCAGTTTGGCTGCTGGCGCCCTCGTGGGTCCCGGTATGTATTCCTGTCTTGCCGGCGAGACATCATCTAGCCCCCCTAGCGGCGGTCTTTCAAGCGATACTTGACGCTCTTTTCAACTTGAACATCACGGGCCTCTGAGTTGATCCTTCTAACCCTGTCTGCTCGCCTGTCGTTGGTTTTTGTTCTAAACATTTGGTTCAGATTCTGGACATATTGGGTCGTACAATTAATTGCAGCCCCTACACCTCGCTTCACTCTCTCTATGGATGTTCGCCTCTGAATCACTGCCTGCCTCATTGGTCACTGGCAACTGCTTGAAGAAGAGGAAACAAGGGCAGAGAAAAAAAAAAGGGAATTCATATCAGGCTGAGACAGTGATATATAAATGCGCTTCGCCCGCCCTGCGAAATGGTTTTACTTCCCTGAGAACGCAAAACAAACATCGAGCCCTCAAATTATTATTAAACCTGCACACCTTTCTTTACAATCCGGCTTGCATCTCGTCTTTGTCCCCTTTGCTTACTCTGCTACACCCTTTGCTATTGCCTAGGCACAGTCTTTGAGTATGGCTCCAACTAGATCAAGCAAGGTAAGGCCGTCCGATGTGGCGGCCGATACAAAGAGGAACTTTATACCTCTAGTCAAAGCAAACTACTCGGAAATGTTTCCACCGTACTCCATTCTTTATCGACATCCTGCGGCGCAGCTCGATATCCCGCGCCAGAAGCCGAGTACTCGTCCTCCACAGTTTCGGGTAGAATCTGGTGATCCTGTCATGAAAGCCATCTACTATGCCACCATGGATAGTGAGACTAGTGAAGGAGCAAGAGGACCAAGAATTCGGGTCCCTTTCCTCTGCGCCGCGAATGAGCGACGTCCGGGGGGAGACTGGGAGACTGGTTGTTCTGGCTATGAAGAGAAGCTGTGCCGACGAAGCAACCTCTCCGCTACGCTGGGCAGCCCCTGGCCTGCGACGGGAGAGGTCATCAACTATCCTATCCCATCTGTTGGAGCTATTCTCTCAGACTCAGTGGTAGTATGCCGTGGGCCTCACGATCGCTACGAGCCACTCGATCGCTGGTACGACCTGCCAGTCATCTCCGTCCCGCCAACACGCTGGCCCAAACTCAAAGAGAATGGAACCAAGTATTCCTTCTCGGAAGAGCGGGACATGATACGGGAAAAGATCCGGGGCGCCCTTCGGATTTGCTTATACAACAACTACGATCGAGTTGTGATTGGCGATTTTGGCCTCGGCAATGGTTATCGCAATCCACCCAAGGAACTTGCGGAAATCTGGCGGGATATTTTCCTATTTGACCCGGATCTCCGTGGGCAATTCTCCTACGTTGTTTTCGTCTTTGAAGATCCCACCCAGAGCACGACTCGCTTGATCCATGAGGAAATGGCCAAGAAAGACCGAAAGAGTAGCAGCATTTCAAAGACAAAGATGCCTCTTGGCCTTGGTGTAAACGGCGCTACTGACATGGAAATCTTTGAGCACACTTTTGACTGTGAGGAAATTGAGCGTGTTCTTTGCCGGCCAGATCCCCGATACGGTCTTGACATGATTACTTCATGAAGCCTTTTCGTTGCTGCCGTGATGGCATCTATGGAATAGTTACGAGGAGGGCATCTGGCGAAGACGGAGGTGGGCAACCAGGGCTGGAAGGCTTTCAACTGACGTTTCAACGCTAGGCAAAAGTCCCTTCCCCCATCCCTTTCCCATTTTCGCCTTCTCTCTCTCTCTCTCTCTCTCTCTCTCTCTCTCTTTTCTCCCTTCCTTTTCTTTATTGGAGCTTGATTAAAAGTGAGTTGTTACAGAGAGGGGGGAGAGCTGTATTTGTTCGCTATTGGTGGCCTTGTATGTCTTTGAAAATTTATTGGCCGTTTGGTGTCCTCTCCTGCTTCAGGCGGAGAAGGACTTGAGCGTCTGGGGTTGGGGCACTAGGAGGATGGTTCGGTATGTATGCGGGTGGATAGGTTTGGATGGATGGGCTAGACTATTCTATCAAGGGTATCACATATTAGGATAAGCTCTTTCCTTTTGTGTAACTTATGTCTCTTTTTGCCTTCTCATGGAGCCATTGTGCGCGTGTGATTGGTTGGCTGCTGATGCAAAGTGGTTGCGGGCGGGCTGAGGTCAAGCACCCCCAGCTGGCTCTCGGAGCTGCCAAGGTGCGGTGAACCCAAGCAAGAGGCCCCATTTCCTTTTCCCTGAAATCAAAGATGCGCAGACGTCAATAATTTTGTGACAGAAGACAGACAGCTGACATCAGACCCCCCTTCGCTGGGAATGAGCTGGCTGAGACAAAGAATGGCACTACGACACAAGGGGCGCCTGGGGTGCCAGCTTTGGGGGCTAGTGTCTACAAGCACTCTCATACTAGGTCTATGGTGGCTTTTTATTTCCTACCTTTTTACTCTTCTTTTCTTTTTTACCCTTCCTTTCCTTTTTCCTTCAAGGCTCAATTTATGACCTGAAGTGACCGTCACTTGACTGCCAGAAAACACGAACACAAAGTCTAGGCGGACCAAAGTAATTTGACATTATGACACAGGAGTATGAGGATACCGATGCTTACTCGTATGTTAGCAAATGACCCCAAAGACGAGCTATTGGCATTGAATCATCTGCTCTAGTACTTCGTGTTCCGTGCTCTTTCCGAACCAAGTGAGGATACCGCCTTGGATAAGCTACCAGGATATCTCCGTCGCGTTCCGGAGTTCCGCAGTGCTATCACCAGAGCTCGTCTTTCTGGAATCCCTTGCATTGTATGCGTTAGCCGACTGATGCTAATCGAAACCGGTGAAAGCTGGATGGGCAGAGCGCTAAAATATCATGGCCTTCTGTGATTCGCGGCTAACTCGATCTGCAGATATCCATTACCGGGACGCTATATCCAGGCGTGTGATTGTGATGACTTGGTTGAGTTAGTGAACATCGCTAGCTGCACCAGCCGTTTGAGTTGCAAGGGTTATGGTTCTATCGAAAATACAGCCTGGCCGTCTAGAAGCGGGGGCCGGGTCGCCTACATATACGGAATACGTATTTGAACTGGCAAATACTACCAATACTCACAACCATTTCCCCCATGTAGGGGAGCAGGGGAGCTACATATGCATCATCGCCGATCTGCTTGCAACCCTCCCGGCCCTCA